GGAGGAAGAGGGAAAGCGGAAAAGGACAAGGACGAGGAGGAAGAGGAAGAGGGAAAGCGGGGGTGGCAGGCGAGCGAGCACCGTTTCCCTCCCTCCATCCGCCTGCCTGCCCGCCTGCATTCCTCCCCGGCCAGCGCAGCCCCACAGCACTCTCGCAGCGGCAGCGGCGGCTCCTTCCTGGCACCCGTCTTCGGTAAGCGAGTTTTTTCCATAGGGACCGACGCTATGCCTCCGTATTAGTGAGCCCGGAAAAGGGATCGCTATGCAGATTCGTTGTTATACGGTGTGCTCGTTATGCGAGGCACCACTGTACATCAACACTAAATAAATTCTGGTACTCCAGATTAATTTATTATTCAGTTAGTAGCATCACCCAAATTCCACGTGTTGATCTTGGCTGTTCTCCATCTCCGGCAAGAAGGAATCCTTCACTTCTTGTAATCTCTGGTGCAACATTGTCAATTCTTCTCTGTAATTTTCTTCTACAGTCTTTAATTTCTGTTCAAAATAAAGTCTTAATTGTTCCAGCTCATTTTCATGTTCAATTCTTTTTTTATCCCATTTAATCTGATAATCCTTCTTCAAACATTCCATTTCTTCCATATATGATGTCTGAACAAGCAGTTGTTCCTTAATCTCTGGTGAGAAAGAGGATGAATAGAAGAAAATGCCTGCAGTTAATGTGGACCCTCAGGAAAGCAGTATAAGAGCTTCAACCCCAGGATTTACCTTTAATTTCATACCATTACATGGGACTCACTTTTAAGCGTCTGACCCTTTTTCTTCCTCAAGTGTGAAAGGAAGACAAATCTCCTACAAAAGGTGGCTTTTTAACAAGTTTAGTACAGTGGTGCCTTGACTTATTAACGCCTTGACCTACAAACATTTTGACTTATGAACAGCTCCGTTCGCAAAATTTTGCTTTGACTTGCAAACAGAGCTTTGACCTATGAATGCCGGAAGCCCGTGCTGGGAGTCAGAGCCTGTCTGAGAGGCAATCTGAATTTCCCAGGCTCTGGCTCCCAGCATGAAGTCCGTCCCCACTGCTCGCTTCACAGCTGGACTCTGCCTCCCGGAGCCAGGCCAGGAAGCAAGCAGTGGGGATGGACCCCATGCTGGGAAACAGAGCCCAGCCGGGAAGCCATTTGAATTTCCCGGGCTCCTGCCTCCAGGCGTGGGGTCCATCCCTGCTGCTCACTTCCCAGCTGGGCTCTGCCTCCCGAAGTTTTGAAATGCTGGAACAGATTAATCCCGTTCCCATGCATTTCAATGGGAAATGCTGATTTGACTTACAAACATTTTGATTTACAAACACCATTCCGGAACGGATTAAGTTCGTAAGTTAAGGCACCACTGTACTAGTTTAACCTCTACACCACAAGGCTCCTAAGAAAATGAATCGTTTATTTCAACACTTCCCTCTGCTTACAGACAAATATCGTCTCAATTTATTTATTTATTTATTTATTTATTTATTTATTTATTTATTTATTTATTTAATATCCCGCCTATCTGGTCAAGCGAGGACCACTCTAGGCGGCTAACAACCTTAAATTGTTCACAAACGCTTGATTGTGAGGAAGGGAAAATTCCTGCTCTGAAATGTTGGCCAGGAAGAATCAATTACATGCTGCAGCCCTCTCAGCAGCATAACTACGTAGACTGTTCTGAAAAATAAGTCAAGAAGGGAGATGGAAATAAACTTGCTCCAAAGAAGATGAAAACCAGTGAAAAGCTTTGAACATAGTTGCTACAGATGAAGCTGGGACATCAAGCAGAAGACATACACAGCCCTAGTTATAGCACCATCTTCTTATCTAACAGCAATACCAGGGATGGAATGCACAATGTGCTGCTGAAAGTGGGGTGACTAACTGGTACATTGGCAAGGGCCAGAGAAAGGACAAAGGCTTTGCCTCTTCTAAAAAGTTATGAGATTATTGTCAGGGCAAAGCCACATTGGTTCCTTCTCCTTTATTCCTGCTTGGTGAGGAAGAAGGTTGGCCATGAACAACTGCAATGAGATGAGTCCATGCCTGGTCCCAGTCTTATAGTGAATATGAACACAATAAAATTGAGGCTTTATCTTTTTGCAGGTGGGAAGAACCAAGACTGACATATGTCTATGTCTCTCCAGATGGAATGAAAAATGTTTCTTGACTGTCACTATAAGCAAGAGTTTATCTTGTTGGTTCCTCTCCTTCACTGAGAACTTTAATACATCACTAGATAGCAGGAAAAACAGATTTCAATAACTAAAATGAAAACAAAATAGAAAACTAACTAGATTACAATGTACAATATAATGTATATAGAAATACAACCTTTAATTACTTCAGATATTGAAACATACCACTCAGTTCTTGCCAACCTGTTTGAGCACCATCCAGCTGAGACCAAAGGTATTTAATTTCTTCCATCTTTAATTCTTCTACCCTGGGTTTCAGTTCCTTTGTCTGTGAAAGACACAGTAAGTTAAAGAGGAGTATTTCAGACTACCTCAAAAGCACCTGTGGGCGAGTTTATGGGTGAGGGTAAAAGCAAGTGCAAAAAGATTTCAAAGAAGAATGCAGCCATAGCTGTTCTGGAGTAGTGGAAGAAACTGCCTACCCTTTCCCCAGTTGAGAAAATGAAGTCACACACACACACACAAGAAAGAAAACAGGCTTAACCCAAAAGAGGCAAGCTGAGGACATCCAGTGGACATCAGAGTGCCAAGCAACCTTCGATCACCTGAACAGGGCACGAACTTCAAGACCTGTCCTTGTTGCACCGGACTTCAACCAGGAGTTCATCATCTGCACAGATGCGTCGAAGGTGGGACTGGGAGCCATGCTGTGCCAAGCAGACGACAGCGGGAATCTACATCCAGTGACTTGCATCAGCAGCATAGTCTTCAAATCCCGTGAAGTTACTTTTTATTCTGAACTGATTATGCCTCACCTTGAGCACTGTGCCCAGTTCTGGACACCTTACATTAAGAAGAAACAAGTTCAGAAGAGGGCAACAAGGATGATCAGCAGACTGGAAACCAAGCCCTCTGAGGAAAGACTGAAAGAACTGGGTGTTTTGAGAAAAGAAGAGTCAGGGAAAAGATGATAGAACTTTTCAAATACAGTGGTGCCTCGCACGAGTGCCTCACACAACGATGAATTCACACAACGATGCCTTTTTCTGTCAAATTTGCTGCCTCACACAGCGATGTTTCCTATGGGGGATTTTCACACAACGATCTCCCTTTTCGCTCCTGTAAAAGTGTCTTACAATGTTTGGACGCTGTTTTAAATGATTGCAATGGTTAGTCCACCTCCTGAAACCTATGCAAACTGATTTTGGTGTTGTTCTGACACTTCGTTAATTTATGATGATTTTTTGTTTTTTCCATTGGAAACCATTAGACAGACC